TTGGTTAATTAATTAAGAAAACTTTTCGAGCAATTTCCTATTTTATTTATTTGGATATATTAGGATTTTTTAGGTTTTACGGTTGAAGTCAAAACCTGGACTGATACAGGAAAGTCAGGAAAGTTTTTGAATATATAGATGGGTCTAACGATATATGAACTTATGACGATGGAAAAAGAAATGGCTTCTATTATTACTAGCTACAACCGAAGAACTTGGTGATATCTTATCCTTGTGGCCAGCTGAGCCAGCCTAACCAGTAATGATTAAAGTTGCTAGATAGATGATTCTGGTTTTACTTATAATGATAATGCTTATTGAGACGAAAATTATAATGAAAAATAGTAAAATTAAACACGACAAAAAAATTACTTCACACATGCCCAGATAAATACCTCTTATTGTTGTTGAAAGACAATTATTTATCATTTAAGTGTAATTTTTCGCTTTTCAAATTTAATAATTACTTTTTGATTATCCCAGTTATCATTATCATTTCAAGATTATCAACAATATTGCAATTGGTAAATGAAAAGAATATTATTTATCAAAATTATCAATTATCAAAATTATCATTTAGTAGACTTGACGAACTTATTTAAATGAATTAAATTTATGTCCTCAGGATGAAAACAAACTTAATAATGCTATCTGGAACAGCGCTCTAAGCGAAATTTAAATTGCAACAAACTTAAATTATGGCAAATAAATAAATAATTTTATTTATTTTCCTACAAAGCCTAAACATAATTTTCTGAAAAGCGATACTTATACTAAGTGATCCAATACTACTATGCTTATTTATCTTTTACAATGATGAACGACGTGAAAAGTAAATAATTTCAAGATTTCTGAAAATTATCATCGACATTTTGGTATATTTACGATTCCATATGCAATATTGCATATACCTAAATATTCAACTCTTGGAAAAATTTATTCATATCTCCTTTCTCGACATTTATAATAATCGCCTTTTTTCCCAGGCAAAAAATATGCCTCGTTTCGTATTCAAGCCATGTTCATAATATCTTAAGCTTTTTTTAAAATTTTATAGGGAAATTTTTTAGTTTTATTTAATTTTATAAATTTTTATAATAAAAAATAGAAAAAATGAATACTTTTTTTATGTTTTACAAAACTATACTAAAAATTTTATGTGCGATTTCCTCCTTTTCCTCCTTTCTCCTCCTTTTTTTTTTCTTTTCAATCAATGCGATCTTGAAAAGCCAAAATCAAAAAGTCAACCATACCAGTACGACCGAAGAGATACCAAATAAAATTATTTTATTTTATTTTAAATTATTTTAAAATTATTTTTTGCATGAATCTCCCCTAAAATTTATAAAGAAATTTTTAAATTTCATTTCATTTCAATTAATTAAATTTAAAGTTCTAATTGAAAAAAAATAAAAAACTTTGAAAATTTTCATCCAATTAATAAATATATGTAAATAAATATATATTTCAATAAATATATATTTTTTGACAAAAAAAAAAGTAATATGAATTGTGGAAAAATGAATGATGGAAAAGGATTCATCAAATTTATTTGGCATATTAAAAAAATTTTTTAATAAATAAATAAATAAAATAAATAAATATATAAAAATAAATATAAATAAATAAATTAAATCTTTTTAAATAAAAAAATTTTAAATATTTTTTTAATGAAAGTGTTCGAAAAAAAAGTGGTTATAGAGGACTCATTTATATCGTCGTTGATCCATTAAAAAAAATATGGCTCTCTTACTTATTATATTTATTTCTTCCAGTGATAAAAGATATCAAAAATAAAAAAAAGCACAATCTGGATTAATTTAATCAAAAAATATTTTTAACGCATTTGTTAGTTGGCTATATTTGCTTAAAAATAATAATTTGATTTTTCAATTTTATTTTATTTTTAGATATGATATAAAGAAAAAAAAGGATTTAGATTTGGTTCATAATCGTAGCTAAAGAAGTCCATTCCGGATTAATTTAATAGTTTTTTTTATTATTGAAATATTATTGTGTCTATTATTGGCTTATCTAAAACGTTACGTTATTTCTCAGTTATTTTATTTTCAGACTGAATTATCAATTATCAGTAATCAATTGTCATATTTATCATTTAAATGCTTTTATGGATCGAAATCAGTTGTTTTTTCCTTACTTTTAAACCTCTTTAGTGCCATGTAATTCTATGTTTACTTACTTTTTAAGAATATCGCACTTAATTTTTAATATAACTGTGAAAAGGATTTAGAATTGAATAGCTTATATTGCTCGTAGGCCTAGCGAAGCCGTAGTAATTAATAATTTTTAGATGTATTCTTTAAAGAAAAATGATTATCTACGCTACGATTTATTATTATCGAACGTTTTTTTTTTTAAAAATAATATTTTATATATAAAAAATACTTTAGAAAAAACAGCTTACGAGACGAATGAATTATTTATTATATGGATTGTTGTTCGTATGAATCAGAAATATATATGATTTGTTTTTTTTTTCAGTTTTTTATTTCTAAATCGTACAATGCTTAAATTTCTTCGTTTCTTCATATTTGTATATTCCAACAATTATTGCAGCTTTTTAGGAAAAAAATTTAGTCGTTCTTTTGCAATAATTTGAAATTTTTTTAGTATTAAAACGCTTTATTCTTGTAGCCAACGAATGTCAACTCAATTGGTTAAATTTAAATCTCGTGTATTATCATAGATTGATTATCAATTATCAGTAATCAGTTGTCATATTTATTATTTGAATGTTTTTATGGATCGAAATAAGTTGTTTTTTTCTTAGTTTTAAACCTCTTCAGTGCCATGTAATTCTATGTTTACTAACTTTTTAAGAATATCGCACTGCATTTTTAATCCACTCTTAAACTGGTACTTAACTTTCGTTATTCTTCAATGAAAACAAATATTAAGTATGATAGGAAGAAAAAATTGTTTATTTAATTACTTACATAATTTTTTTTTTTTTTGTATCTAATGAAAATATCAATATTTTATTTTAAATTAATATCCAAATCCAATAATCATAAATATAATATATTTAAAATTAGGAAAGAGAGAGAGAGGGAAACACAATGTAATATGGTAGGATTGCGTTGAAGGAATAGGAACTTGGCTCGGTACTTCTGCTTAAAATAACTTTTAAAAAATCGATTGATGGTACTTAAAAATAGACATATAGCTTACTCTATCTATTTTCTCAATTTCCAATCGTATACTAACTTAAGCAGTAATAATGGCACCACTCGAATTTGCTAAATTAAATCGTTATCTTATATTATTTTTTATGTTCTACTGATATCACTTCTGGATTAGGTGTTGATTTTATCGATTAATCAGTTGTTGAAAATGGGAACCTTCTTGTTGGTCGGGTAATACAGGTGCATTCTTTTCACTTCTAGGATCATTTTTCATTTTTAAATATAAATTTATTCTCATCATTAAACAAGAGTTGAATTCATGAACACTTGACCGCAATTATGGTAAAATATTATTCGATCATTTTCCTATGAGATTTTTCATTATCATTATCATCATTTATCTATTGTTTAGTTTCATTATTTGTATTTATTATTGATAACTATAAAATTGATAAATTTGATGAAATTTAATGCAAAAATAATTTCGTTAATGGAATTTGAATATCAATATATAAATATGTATGACCTTTATAAAATAGAATATTGGACTCGATACGTGTAACGTTTAGCAGTTATGGAATTTGCTGTGCAAACATTTTTCGTAGCCTTCCTTAATGCTCGTTCTATTATTATTGTTTGCATTGTTTTTCCTTTAGTAATGTGAATGGCACGATTTTATTATGAAAGTGCTCAATATTACAAAAAGATTAGAAAATTTAGTAAATCAGTGGTTAGTTTCTTAAATTTTTGCTTTGAAAAAAATTTTATTTTTTTTCATTTAATAAAACTATAATTAAAATTTTTCAATTAATACTGTCTTTCAGATATTTTAATAGAAACTTTAATATAACTTTTCTTTTCTTTTCTAATAATAATAATAATAATCAAAATAGATAAATGGAGGGAAATTGAGACACCACAGGAGTTGACGCATTATTTGCTAAACTCTGTAATGGTTGGCGTCAAAAGCGAGGAGAATCAGTTAAAACTTGGACTGATACAGTCAGGAAAGATTTTGAACATATAGGTGGACTAGCAATATATGGACTTAGACGATGGAAAAAGGAATGGCTACTATTACTACTAGCGATGGCGTCAGACCGAGCAGTTTAGAGACACCTTACTTTTATAGCCAGCGGAACCAGCGTAACCAATAATGGTGAGAGCTATTAGAAGAAGAAGGGAAATTAAAAAATTTAAATATTCGAAGAGAGATTAATGAAGCTGAAGAGAAAATCGAGATGGTGACGGGGAGTGGGGATGGAGGATTGAGGGAGATGAGAAGAGGAGAGAGAAGAGATATCATTTTAGCTCATCAAATTTTGCTTTCCTATTTATTTCTCTACTACTTATTTTTTGCAGAATATCCATACCATAACAATAAATTAATTCTTTCGTTTTAAATTTCATATTAAATTAATTTTTTTAATTTAAAGAAATTTTTATTTTATTTTATTCTATAGTTTCTAAAATTTTACCAAAGTTTACCAAAATGTTTTATTATTTTAAAATATTATTATTATATGAATAAAATAGAGCATAAAAACTATTTGCTGGTTAAAGCAAACAAAAAAGAATATAAAATATGGAAAAAAATTTTAATATTTTATTACTATTATTATTACTATTTTATTACTATATTTTTTATAGGGGTTATTTTATTTGGTAATAAATGCTCCAACGAATAAGGCGTTCCATCATATTTCGATTTTAAAATTTATTTTTTCAACAATTTTTTTTTAAACCACAAATATTTTGAAGCAATACTTTTCCACTTATTTTAGTGATATTATTATTTTTCATACAAATAAGTAATTAGACAAGGAAAGTGCATTAAGTAATCAGCTAAGTAAAATGATAAGTAATGAATTAATAAATATGGTATTAAGTAACCAGTTAAGTAAAGTAATAAGTAATTAGAATCGCAAATTATTTCATTGTAGGAAAGAGAAATTGTGGAAGAAGAAAAATGGATGAGGCAAGAACCAGTCTTGGATGAAACAAGACGCGCATCACACTTATCATCGAAATCTACTTCACACTTATCCGGGTTTACCTAAAAATATATATTTACGAAAATTAGCCAATTTTTTTATATTATCATATGCTAGGATATGGTACGAAAAATAATTATAAAATTATTTTTATAATTTTCATATTTTAATTAGTCATATCTTTTTGAAAAATGATTTATTTTGTTTTTTTTTTTTTTTAAGTTTTCTTGAAGAAATTCTTTATTTTAGGCAAACGAATTTTAAGGATAATGCGAAATATCAAGAAAAAGCTATGTTCCCAAATCGAACTAATCTACAAACTTCTCGTAGTCGTGATAATATACCGACTTCATCCTCATATATTCCAGAAATTTTATCGACTAATCGCTCATCAGTATTAAACAAACCTAAGGAAATCGTGCCATTTTATACAATAACAAAAGTAGGCTAATTTCGCTAATTCATTAATTTTTATTTATTTAAATTATTTATTTTTAATTAATTAATTAATTTATTTATTTTATTTATTTATTTATGGTGACGATAATTTATTTATTTTTGTTTTATTTATTTATATTTAAATTTATAGCAAAATTCAAATATTTATTCAAATTACATGACAACTATATTTTAATTTTGCCTATACATGACTTTAATACTTCTGCATATTTCTTATATAATATTTATCTATTATTTATCTTTTTCCCAAGCAAGATTGGTATTTTATATAATAGTAGTAATAGTAGTAATTAAGTTATAGTAGTAATTTCTTTTTTTTTTTAAGAAAAGGCAATAATTTCTCGAGAAAAATTCAAATTTCAAATTTTTATATATATCTGTTTTAGAAGAAGCCAACTATTCATAATAAAACTACTAACGATGTTCGAACATTAAATTTTCAGGTATATTTTAAATTTTTTTTTTTTCTTCTTTTTTTTTAGTATAAATTATCGTCTATTATCGTCAAACTAGGCAAATTTTGTCGATGAATCGCTTAATGGTAGAAGATAATGTTAAGTATGGGTTATCAGCAGCATTCAAACATAGATTTTTTCAACGATAGATTTTATTTTTTTCACGGGAATAGAAACCCATGATAAATGAAAGTAATGTTTCTTCAATTTTTCACTGCATTCCTTGTATTTAAGGAAAATATGAATAATTTACAGAGAAAAAATTTATGGATAAAAATTCATACATAAAAAATTTAAATTTTAATTTATATTTAAAAAATTTTTTTTAATTATTTTAATTATTTTAGAAGCCAGTCGCTCCTAAACTCGTTAACAATATTCAAGTGGTAAACTACCTTTTAATTTTTATCTATAAATTAATATTCAATTTCTTTTTTTTTCTAAGATTTTTTAAGATTTTCTAAGATTTTCTAAGATAAGATTTTTTTCTCAGTTAGCTGCTTGAGCAAATCAAATTTTCATTTAATGATAGAAGCACAGATGGATTGCGAAGCACATGCATTTTTCAAAGACATATTTATCTCTACTAGTAGTAAAAAATCAGCATTGGCGTCATTCGAAAATTATCATCGTTCTGGAAAAATAACCATACCATTGAGCCATTCCAAATTTTTCTAAATTTTAAGTTAAAGTATGAAAGCAAATAAGATTTTCATTATGCGATAGAAAAATGAAATAAATATTTTCAACGTGGCTAAAATCGTAAAATAAAATATATTTTAATAAAATATATTTTCTTAATAATAATAATAATTTTAGCATAAATCAGAAATCGATTCACAACATATTTTTTTTGATAATGCTGATATTATCAATACTGATCATGGATTTACAATAAAATTAGACGTGAAATATTTTCGTCCTGAAAATTTAAAAGTAAGCGCTTAAAAATTTTACTTAAATTTTAAAATAATAATTTTAAAATCTTAAAATTTTATAAAAATCATCAATAATCTTTTCTATAATTTTTTATTTTCCTGAATACTATTTTTATTCAGCAAAAATATAGGTGACACTCACTCGAAACATATTAACGGTGTTTGGTGATCGATTTGAAGATGTTAATTCGCAAACAATGCGACGAACTTTTACCAGAAAATATCTCATTCCATCTGATGTTCGCTTATCATCAATTATATCTTATATGACCGACTGTGGATCTTTAGTTATTAAAGTAAGTAATCCATTATTTTATTTCTATTTCTAGTAAGGAAGGCGAAATTCGATTTTCTATGAAACGAAAGATTTTTTTTTTTTTATCATTAAACTCCCCATGAATATTAGCCAATTATTTAATCTATGTGAGCAAAATGCTCGAAGATAATAAATATTATTTTAGTAAAGAGGCCTAACCATCATATTCGATTGTTCTTTGATGAACCAGGTTGTATCTATTTTTTACTTCTTTCTTCTCTTTCCCGAGGAGATCTTGTCGTGATAATCACTGAAGTCAGAAAAATAGTAATATTCTTCGACTACTAATCAAACCACATCTTTACGTTCATTTATATAAGGGTCATTAATGGTTCAATTCGTGATTTACATCGAAATTTGATTAAAACCTCTGAGAAATTTATTCGGATATATAAAATTTTTAAATCTGCTTTGATCTCACCATGACCATTTGCAGCCTTTTAACAGTAACCACCACCTCTATTTCCACTTAACACCTCATTAAATTTCGTTTTTGGTTCAGTTGTAAATTATAAAGTTGTAAAACATAACAATAATTGCGGATATAAAGGAAGCATTATGCGAGATGGAATACAATGGGATATAATAATTAGGATAAATAGGATAATTGTATAAATGTAATTTAGCAGTGTATGAAGAGAATTAATAGAGTGAGTAAAGAATATCAAGGATATATCCAAGCATATAAAATTAAAAATATGAGGATAATATTTGGGTCTCTAGCAATTATTAAACCTGGCTCCGAGGTACTGGCTTCACCATTATGATATTTCGGATAACTCGAAACGAAATGGCATAGTGATTGCCATCTGAAAAGGTCCAAATTTAGTTGTATCAATTGAGATGTTTCAAAAATTTATATCACTATTATTATCACTATTTTAACAATTATTATTTTAATGATTTTCTATTTTAAAAAAATCTATTTTCTATTAAAATTTTATTTAAAAAGAATAAAAAAAATATTTTATTTACACAGGGAGATCGTAAAGGTTGGAAAGAAACTGATTTAACCGTTCAACCAATAATAACGCAACAATCAAATTCAAATATGATAAGTGTTGTATAGTGATAATTATTAAAATTTATTTTCATTTATGAAAAAAAATTTTTGAAAACAAATAAAATTTCTTGTTGAAACTAATAAAAATTTCATTAATAATTTTTTTCAGTAAAATGTTTTCGATCCAGAAAAAAATGAAACTATAACTTAAAAAAAAAGGGTTATGATAGCGATTCATTTTGTACTTCTATTGTCAAATTAGTGAAATCTGAAATTTCTAAATCTTCTCTGGCAAAAAATTTGATTAATTGGTCCAAAGAGAAAAATAAAAATAACATCATTTATTCAAAATTTATTCATTTTCATTTAATGATTAACTGATAAGATGAATAAAATAAATTTTTCCATTAATCAAATTTAAAACTATTAAAAATAGTTTGAAAATTATATAAAATATTATTTCAGCACAGCTTTATCGCTGAATAAAACTGAGCTGATTGTATTTAGGAAGTTCCTTAACACATTTGTCTAGCCTAAGCCAGTGGAGCGAGTCTAACCAGTAATAATTTTATTATTACTGGTTATTTATTATTACTGGTTAGACTCGCTCCACTGGCTTAGGCTAGACAAATTAAAATTTAAAATTAATCATTTTAGAAATATTTATTTATTTGAATATTAAAGAAATAATTTAAAGAAAAAATTGGTATTGATGGATAGATTTAGCTGAAATGAACTCAACGAAATTTAAAGACGAACCTGAAAAAGTATCTAAGCTCAAACTTAAATCTAAATAATTTGGTCCCTAGGAACCGATAAAAAGGCAACTTATATAAAATAAGAAAATAGCAAATATTTCTATATTAAGTGGATGATTCTATGACCGATTTCGAGACTAATAAATTCAACAAATTTTAACTATTGTGTTATGATCTAAATACGGACAATGAATAGCCGAAATAAAAAATAATAGTAATAAATTCGATAATAAAGGTTAGAGGTCAGATCAAAATTTTAAATCAATCATTATAAAAAATTAAGGTAATAGTTTTATTTTCGGTTATGATCTAGCAACACTGATAAAACTCGCACTTTTTGAGGTTAAGCTTGATAAAAATCATTAAAAGCAATGATGGATACTTTTTAGAACCATGGCACCTTTGGTCTCATTTTAAAAATCAGTGAAACCAGCCAAAGCAGAAATTTGTTATCAGAAAGAAAAAATGAAAAAAATGATAAATGATAAAATTCAGTGAAAACAAAACGTTTGTGGCTAAAAAATCCACATTCTAATTTTCCTAATAAAATCTATAAAAGCAAGAATTTTTATTTAAAACAATTTTTTATGAATAATCATCGATGCGGATTTTTTCAAAAAATTATCACCACATAGTGAAAAAAAAAAGTAATGAAAAATTGCAAATGAATGGTGCAAGAATAGAATTATCTGTCACCGCAAAAAATATACTTTCATAAAGAGAATCAGAGAATAAACAAAAGGTCATTTGTAATCGGATGACCCCTGAAAGAAGTGACCAGATGCTTCGATACCAGCTGATTTCATATAACTAGCGTTCTAGGAAAATACAATTCGATTATATTATTTGGCCTATGAAGGAAATAAAAAAAGATGCTAAGAATAGACATCTGAAGAAAATGACCATCTCGAAAGGCTGGTGCATTGGTCATTCTATAATCTTTTATATTTATATGAAAGCACAAATCGAGATTTGACCAATCAACTTTACGTATCTTTTATCAAAAATCATTGTATTTTGATCATTTTTTTGTCCAAAATTAAAATACTAATTTTTTAAAATTTTTATAAATTCATATATAGGATGGACGATTTTACTTACTATTTACTCGATTATACTTTATTTTTTATATATTTCATACTTGAAAAAAGGCGACAAGTCCTTGTAATTTTTTATTTAAGTTCGTCCAAAAAAAAAATTCCAGCTATTTTTTTTAACGTTGTAAGAAGTTGTGTGGTTAACACTCATTAGTTTAAGGCTATTTCGACTGTCAGTACTAGCAGAAATTTTTGCCATGGAGTCATTTCTTTTGTTTAGAACCAATATGTTTTCAATTCCTGTTTCTTGATGGTTATATGGATTATGTAAAGTAAAATCCTGGTGAATATCCACTAGTGTACCTCTAATTCTTTGAAAAAGCATTATTATATGAAAAATTAGCCAAATTATTAAGATTTAAAATCTTCTCAAAATTATAGCAGTTAATTTTTACTCCATCTTCTTGGAAATTTATTGCAGTTATTACTATTGACAGTTTGCATTATAATTTTTTATAATTGATTTTTATCCTATAAAATTTGCAAGTATTCTAATTTTTACATTTCTGGATAGTTTATGATTATTTCCTTCTGATTCCTTTTTTTTTTCTATGTCAACGTATCGCATATTAAATATCCTCAATGGTCTTTTCTAGACGTGTAATTTTGGTTTATGATAAATTAGTTTTATTCCCGTTTGGGATCATGGGAATAGCAGGTGGTATAAATAAATTCGCGTCTGTATATATTTATTTCAGATTTTCTTTATATATAATAGCCAGCTAGCCAGCTGTTATCCCCACTCGTCCATTGCTTATATGATCTATTGGACACTGTCACTTAATTGTTACAATTAAATCTTTCAACAACCAAATAAACCACAACAATTAGTGAGTGTATCATTTGATTTGTTTAGTGGCTTTTGCAAGTCATTTTTTGTGGAAAAAAAATTTTAAATGATTAGACTGGTTTTTGTTTTATCTATAATTTAATAATTTTTAACATATATGTTATAAATGCGAAACTCGGATGTATATGGGGATAGAATGGCTCAGTGGATTGTTGCTCAATTGGGAGCGCCGATACTGAGGTTCGATTCCCCGCAGGAGTAAACCTGTACAAAAATCCTGGTGATGCTGGAAACTCACCTGTATTTCTATCGCCAAGGGACTCTCTGGATATTTTTGTCCAATGCGAAAAGCGGGTGAAGCGAGTTTAACCAGTAATGGTGAGGACTCTTTAAAAAAAAAAAACGTATATATTACCTATATAGACCTACCTATATTTTATATGTGTTTATATAAAAAATTCATCTATTTTCTTTAAAATCGTCCAAGATTTTTTAAAATTCCTCCTGTTCAATAATTTTCCTCTAATCTGTATTGTTTCTCTACAAATTCCTGCTCTATCCCTTCAAAATACTCCTTTATTCCCGTCTTTTAGCTCTGCTTTTTTGGACCAAAATAGATCCCTTTCCAACTTCTCCTTACTCCTTTAATATTTTCCTGTTTTACATCATTCGAAGCTTTGAAAAGTTCCCTAATATTTCATTTAAACACCGCTGTTACCACAATGACATTTCCTTAAACTTACTAATCTTATACCATTGTAAAACCTTTCTTAGAACCATACTCTTTGATCCTCCATGCACTTACAACCTACTCACCCCACACCCTCACACCCTACTAAGTTGCCTTTTTTTTTAATACCAGGTAGGCAAGTGTAACTTTCTAACATTATTTTATGCTACATTTATTGCATTGGACAGTTATCCTACTAATTTATTAATTTGCCATGATAACATATAGCATGCTGCAATACAAAAGAGCCATTTTAACCTTTTGTTGCAACCCACTAATGCGCAACTCGCCCTTAAAAACTCGCCTATTGTCTATGAAATCTCGATTTACAATTTGAAAATTTTTTGATATTCAGCGAAACCTGTCATTTTTCATGAAAAAAAAACTTTTTAAATCCCCATCAGAAATTCTCCTAATATTTCCTAAAGCTCCGCTACATTTTTCTGCCATAATCGACTTCTATTTTTAAATTTTTTCTATTTTTTTAAACTTACTTACCTAGTTTCCTCATATCCTATTTTATTCCTATAAACTATTCCTATAAAACTCAGTTAAATTTCGTATTACATTTCTGTTTTAGCCAAACAAATTTTTAAAATTGCCAGAGGTTAGACTACAATCATTTGGAGTATTGAAGGAGCATAACGGGACTTTGAAGGCGTGGAAGTAGAATTATAGGGATTTGGCGTATGGCAGAACGGTGTATCATGCAGGGTTTAAAGAAGTCTTAGTAGAACATAATGATTTTTGACGAAATAGACTTATGCAAGACTTGAAGGTATAATAGTTATGACCTTGTATAGGGCAAATATTTTTAATGTATATGCATATATGGTTTAACAATATATTCAAAAATTATATTGAAAAAATAAGTGGGATTGCAGTCATTCACTTCTTCTACTGGACTATGCCAATGGTACTAATTAGATTTGGGATTTTGCAAACTGGCTAAATGCATAATTTTTATTAATTAGAAAAAAATGAATCACCGGATAAATCAAAGGATTAGAGTTAATATTTTGAACTATTTTGTAATAAAAAAAAGGAAAGTAGCGAATCGTTTTTAATATTTAAAATAAAGGTAGGGATAATCGAATATTTCGAAAGTTATTCCGATTCGCACCATAGATTCGATTCCTTACTTTGATAGGAATAAAGCTTCGAAAAATCCAAAAATCCCAATGGTACTGAAATTTTAATTCTCTCGCCAGTTGACTCTTTGGCGAAAATATGCGAGTGCAATTAAATGCACTCAATGGAAGCCTTACCACTTACATAATCCCGGAATGCCAAAATTCAGTGTTTTTTTTTTTGCTTCTTTATTTGGCAGACTAATAAATACTTATTAAACTCTTTTTTTTCAAAAAGTTTTTCAGTTAAATTTACGGTTTTTCATTTTGTTTTGGTAAATTTGCTATATTTATAATTTTATTGAAAATTTAATAATTTTATTGAATTAATAAATTTAATTTTATTGAAAATTTAATAATTTTTATATTTCTCATAAAATTTCATATTTTACAAAAATTTCAGGAAAGAAAATATGGATGAAGAGAAAAATGAAAAATTATTAACCAATTTTCCAGAGGGATCGCCCGAATTAATTCGAAAAAATCAAACTTTCAAAAGGTTTAAAAGATTGTTTATTCAGTTATATAAGAAATTTTTACCAAAACATCAATTTTTAAAGGATATGAAAAATTTAAAATTTTTTTCCATATAAAAAATTAAGAATTGCTCTTTTTGCATTTATTTATAGTTTGATATTCATTCTAAAACTCAGCTGGTCGTAGACCCCGTTCGAATCCGTTAGTTTTTCTAAATACGATATGCCATGTTTTAAAGGTGATGGAGTTCTTTCGAACTAGTTTATTTTAATTTGTTTTTTGGAAACTGTCAAAGACTTCGTCAAATTCTTCCTCTCTCATAGCTCTCACCATTATTGGTTAGGTTCGCTCCAACGACTACAAAGGTAAGACGCTTCCAAGCAGTCTGATACAATCGTCGATAGTAATAGAAGCCATTCCTTTTTCATCGTCTAAGTCCGTATATTGCTGGTCCACCTATATGTTCAAAATCTTTTCTAACCGTATCAGTCTTGATTTGCCCACCTCACTTTTGACGAAATATACGTCACTCCTTGTGGTGGACGAAGGAGAACATGCCCTAACCATCAAGGCGACGCTCTGTAATAAAATTGTAAATACAGATGATATTTGAAGATGGATGCGATCATGTGATAGTTTATCCGTTCGATGGATCCGTAAAATCACCTTAGACAAGAGTGGCAGATAACTTCTTAATATCCCTCATTCCTCTCATTGGCCATATCTCAGAGCCAAGGTATTTAAAATCGGGCAATGAATTTATAAAAAGAGGCATTTTATCAACATCTTACACGTAAGATGAAAAGGCTTTCGTTTTGTTTACACTGATCGTGAGTCCGTTTCTTGCTGCATTTGCTGACACGTTGTTTAGCATTACTTATATTTCGTCATAATTGTCACCAAAAAGGAACTAAATCATCAGCGTATTCAAGATTTGTGATACGATGCTCTGGACTGATTTGGGCACCAATTGAGAGCCAACAAGCGGCGTCCATTACCCAGTCTATCGCATAGTTGAATATTGTGGGGGAAAGGACTCAGCCCTGACGGGCACCTGTTCTTATTTCAAAGGAATCTATCTCCATGTACATAGATCTGCGCCGACGTGCATTCATAAAATGCTTTTATGAGTTTAATGATTTTCTCTGGAACACCATCACGTTCCATCACTCTCCAAAGCGCTTCTCTATCAACTGAATAAAAGGTAGCCGCAAACTGGATGAAAAACGTGACAATGGGTTGCAAATATCTAAAGCGATGTTCTAACACTCTTCTTAACGTGAATATCTGGTCAGCACAACCACGACTGTTCTGAATTTAACTTGATTGTGGCGCATCCTGCTGTCCCGTACTTCCTTAAGTCTAGCAGCGAAGAAAAAATTTTTGCTGAGACGTTTAGTCGGCTGATTCCTCAATAATTGTCGCAGTATGTCCTATTACCTTTCCAGAGAATTGTTGTGCTCCAATCATCTGGTAATATTTATTTTTTCATACTAGAGAGTATATTTGTGTTAAAGGTGCAGTATGAAGAACGATGGGCAACAGTTGAAGAGTTCAACCCGGAGACCATCTTTTCCAGGAGTCTTATTGGCCTTAAGCTTTGGATAGATGGAGATTATTTCTTCTTCGAGGCTCACAGTTGCAAGCGTATGGTTCGACAAACGTGTCAACTAGATCAGGGATAACGGATGGCGCTTCATGGCTAAATTTTGCCTCAAAGAATTCTTTCCATCTTATGAGGCAGTCCTTTGACTGGCAAACCATTGCTATCCCTTACCATTTCACTGATCGTTCTTCTAGTTACTGTTAAATACTGGAAACTATCAAATCAAAGAATTAGAAGTAGTAAAAATTTTAATAAAATAGTGCAAACCAATTTTTTCTAAAGATTAATCTATAAAAAGAGAATAAGAAATGTATAATAGATGAATCGTTTATATAGTTTGGTATTGTCTTGAATAACGCGAGTCGTGTTATTTCCACTTCTTTATTGTTGATAATTTAATAATTTCCTGGATGGTCTTAGAATGTCAAATTGCTATAGACCATTGGAATTTCCAAGTTATTTGCTGCTGCAGATTGCTGATAATTAATAATCAGTGGTACTTAGTCAAATAAACATTTTCTTCACAAAGGCATTAAGTAGTACATGAAGTCATAATCCACGTAGAATTGCAGACCACTTAACCTTAAATTAAAAGATTTATATTAGAGCATATAGTGGAAAATAGTTCACTTACAATTACAATTGAAAACATTCGCCAATGGAAGAATAAATCCCGATATTTGTAGGTGAATAATCGAAAGCCTAAAGTCTAAAATTGAAAATTGAATCAGTTCCATGATTTTTGCTTAATTTAATTCACCTTTCTTTTCTTGCTAAATCAACTATCTTTCATTCTCTAAAAATTTATCGAAGATTTTTTTATTTTTTTATTTTCTAAAAATTCTAAACTTTATAAACTTTATAAACTTCTAAATTTTTTAAAATTTTAAAAATTATTTAGATTTTTTGAAAATTATTTAAAAAATCCATTTAAAAAATTTTTGGTTCCATCCCATCGTTCTTTTTCAGCTTTAGAGCTTTTGAAAAAGCTTTCTGTGCTTGGCAAGAAAAAAATTTTTTTACTTATCGAGTATATAGCTCAGATTGTAAAAAATTGAAAGATGGAACGAAAGATCCTGAAATTTGTTATAATTATGTCGTTTATCAATGTGTACATTATGGAGAACCACGAAAGAGAGGTAAATTTTTTATGAGAAATATTTAGATAATTTTTTAAAGAGATTTTTAAATTTTTCAAAATTTTTTTGTAAAATATTTTATTTTATCATTATTATCATTATTATTATTTTATCATTTATATTATCATTTTTATGATGCGAATAATTCAGGAAATGGAATACGAAAACAAGAATATTTAGCTAGCAATTGCAAAGCGAGACTTCGTCTTAATTATGATAGTCGAAAAAAACTTCTTGAAATTTCGCGATTATCATATGAACATAATCACGTTTGTGATAAGGATTCTTATCTGAAGGCGCTCAATCGCAGACGTCAGCAAGCAACTAGTCAGCGTAATTATTTGAATTGAACATACATATTTATAATTGCAATTCTGCATGCCAGTATCAATCAATGTATATATTAATCATTTATTTTTTCTACTTAATAAATTTATAATTTGAGCAGTCAAAATCCGACAAGGAAAAATGAGCCAAAATTAGCTGGAAAAATAAGCTTATGCTATAGATGTAACGAAGAAAAAAGCGCGTACACAATCGAATATTATTTGTCGTAAAGATCATGTTTTATCGAATTTGAAAACTCAAAAAGAAGATTTAAATTACAATCGTGAAGATGGTTCATCGATGGTTTCACCGAATTCACCGATGTGCCAACTCAATGAGCCAACGATGGAAAAAATTTCATCCGAATTGCATTATCGTTAATATTTTTAATTTTTTTAATTTTTTTATGTATATATTTTTATATTTATTAAATTTTCGCTTTCCTATCAGTCTTTCCATGATTGAACTTTCTTTTAAAAAATAAAAAAACCAAATTTTTACGATGAATAGCTGGTGCAGTGGATGAGCATCACAACATGGATTCTCCTTTAGTGGGACTATGCGTCACTCCGGATATATCACCATTATCATTTGATAAAATTGAATTAACAAGCAACGACATGCCTCTTGATCTATCGTTACACAAAGTATGTCCAATAAAGTTTTTTCTTGCTGTGCATATTTTTCTTAAATTTTTTTTTTTTTCTTTTTTTTTCTTAGATTAAATTAAAAGTGAAAGAAGATCAGCAAAATTTTGTTTTCATTTTATAGTATGATAAAGCTTATAAAGCGTAGATTTCACTCAATGATAAGCTGATAAGGATAATCAATATATATTTATTTATTTTTAAATAAATAATATTCATCTATTATTTTATTTTAGAATAAACAATCATCGAGAGAGAGTTCCATACAAGTTATTTCGTCATTTCATAAGGAATGTAATGAAGAAGAAGAAGAAGAAGAAAGCGAAAAATATGCTAAAATTCAAATTGCACATATGAATCGGCTAAAAATTCTCATTTCATATTTGCAACAAAAAAGCGATGAATTTTTTCAAAAATTAATTTCTGAATTAAAATTTTCATTAATTTCATTTGAAAATTTTCAACAATTACGAGAACGACAAATACAAAAAAACGAACAATTCATTCGACAACAAAATTCGTTAAATATTTTTTCTAAATTTTTTATTTCGTATATTCGACAAAAAAACGATATAATTGCATTTCAAAATTTAATAAATGAATTAATACGTCGATTAAATTTATTTAAAAAAAATTTTGATGAAAATATTAATTTATATTTAACGAATAATTTGCTAATGCGCATGATAAATAATGATAAAAATCAAAATTTTAATCAACAAATAAAATTTAATGATTGGAATAAAATTGAGCAAATCAATGAGTTCAATTCGTCGAATTTATTAATGGAATGAAGTAAGCTTTTTTTTTTTTTTTGAATGAATTATTTTAAATTTTCTTTATATTTATTTTTAATTTTATTTGTTTATAAATAGCAATTTTACTTCAAAGCCAATCGGTTATTTCTATTAGTTTTGTTTTGCGTTCCTAATTCCAAAAATCATAATCCATGAAAACAAATGAAGTGTGTTTACTCAAATGAAGTGATATTTTGTTTCCACTTGATCAGTTTTTTAAATATTGGATTGGCGCAAATATACAAAAATTTTTAAAATATATGTATTCCTGGGAGGTGCGAAAAGGAGAGATTTTAGTGAAAAAATACTCAATGCTGATGAATAGAATCTATATTTACAATCTAGAGTAGGTGATAATTTTTGATAATAATGATAAAGATTTTAGAAAAGAAAAAATTTTTTTCGATAGGATTTATAGGTTTATAGTTTGTTTCTTTAATATTTAATATAATTTGAAGCAATGGAAGTTCCACTTTAACTAGATTAATCCATTAATATTTTAGAAAACTGTTATATTTTTATTTATTTCAGAGTTGAACAGGTTAAAAATGATTGATGAATATGCATGGATATTTCGATAACGGGTCGGTATTTTCCAAAAAGATTTACATAGTTAAGGGGATTTTCTTATTTTTTTATCGTTTTATTTTTCAGATTTCATGACAAATTTCCTTGTTAGACTTTTAAAATTGAAATTGAAATGAAATGTATCGTCCCTTTTATTGATATTTTTTTCTCTCTATTGCAATTATTTGATAGCAATAATTAACTCTTTTGAATCATCTTTAAATTGGTAATTTCTTATGTTGATTATTCAGTTTTTTTTTCCCTAAAACTTAATCGAAACGAATAAAAATTTAATAACTATTTCTTTGAAAATTTATGCCTTAAATTCTGATAATACTGGCGACTTATCTATTCTATTGTTTTGTAATCTCTGTCGGTAAAAATTTTTCTAATCCGATAACAAATCAGTGAAGCGAAACTAATTGGTCTAAAATGGTGAGAATTCTTTATAAAAAAAAAAAAAACTAAGAATGAAATAATGAAAAATTTATATAGTCGAATATCACAAATATTTTAGAGATCTACAAGGCTTAGCCAAGCATAAATTCCAGTTTGGCTAAGGCCTTACACATTCTACTGCTACTCCAATGTCACGAGTCATCTGAACTTTTCAAATTGTGAATTGCGAAAAGATTTTGGAGGATGCTGTATTGCGCTATATCAATTCCATCTAAATCCTGAAATATTGACCATAATATTGCTCGATTTGTGGAAACTATCAATCTGAGCTACGCTATGTGAACGATTTGTACTTCAGCGATAGTTCATCAAAATATATTTAATTTGGTTCCAATGTTAATTTATCACAGTAGTTCCATGTAACTCTTCCACAGTGCCAAAAGCATAAAAAAGTTTCCAAATGCTTTTCAGCAAACGGCACACTTGGTCTTATACTTGGATAATGCGTCACCATATCACCTACTTTTCAGCAAACGGCACACTTGGTCTTATACTTGGATAATGCGGCACCATTATCACCTACTTTTCAGCAAACGGCACACTTGGTCTTATACTTGGATAATGCGACACCATATCACCTACTTTACCCTTTTCAGCAACTACAGTTTTCTTTTGAGAAAGGCGCTAGCAAGCGTTTCATTAATGCATAGTATCAATTAATTTGAGATTTTTCAGACCTTATTTTTAAAGCGCTTATAGTCATTAATAGGACTGCACAGTGTTTAGAGCTAATTGCTCATTATTTACAATGTGATAGCCACGATCATATCATTGCAGACATTGCAAAAAAAAAAGGCAATTATGATAATTTTCTGGATAAATGAATAATTTCTATCCTTGTCAATTTTTAATATCTTATAAGGAAAATTTTTTCTCATTTGTTCTTCTATGTATGCAAATATTTAAATACTGTCGATTATTATCCTATAAAAAAGGAAATATCACTTTTCTAATTAATAGAAAAAATAGTCTTGCTGTGAAATTATAAAATTGGAGACGATTTTGTTTTCATGGTTTATTTAATGTCATTTTCTCTTAATTGAATTGATCTGTCTGAGAATTTGATAAAAATAAATGTAAAATATAAATATAAAATAAAGATAAAATATATTCTTGCTTGCTAAACGCTGTGATCGACGGCTTCAAAAGCGGTCCAATCAAGTCCTGAACTGCTACTCTTAAGAACGATTTTGAGTGTATAGGTGGATCAGTGATATGTGGACTTAGAAGTTGGAAAAAAGAGTGGCTTCTATTATTTGTCGACGATGGCATCAGACCGCGCCGTTTGGAAGTATCTTACTCTTGTGGCCGTTGGAGCCAGACTAACCAGTAATAGTGAGAGCTATTAGGAGATATATATATATCTTTAAATTCATCCAATGTTTTTCAAATTTTAATTTTGAATTTTTGTTATTTTAGATAAGGCATTGATAATTTTTGATAACAAAAATTTTTCATGAACACGAAATTTCTGAGGAGTTCCACTAATTGCATTTTCTCATAAAAATTAAAAATTTTCAGCAAAAAACAAATATTCAACTATAAAAAAATTAAAATTGAAAATATTAAAAAATTAATGTACTTCGTTTTGTTGTAGTTGATATAATGTATTTAATTTTTGTTTCGACGATAAGCTTACAATTTCATCCAATTTCTACCATAAAAAACTTCTACCATTTAAGAATAAAATCTGAATATATAGTCGATGTGTCTCTGTCTACCTTAAGTAAATTGAAAGCCTTATCAACTTAGTGGAATCAGCCAAAGTATAAGTGGTGCATGAGCCATAAAAAAAAAAAAGATATTTCCAGAAAGGATTAATTCTTAACTTATTAGAAATTTTGGAAAAAAATTTTACTTTAAACTTTGAAAATTGGTCTTAATAATTGGTTTATAATTTTTTTATAGATCTTCTCTTAAAATCTTCAACTTTTCAATATCTCTTCTATTACAAGGTTAAACCAAGGTTTTTTTCTATCTAAACAAAAATTGATTTAAAGATAGATGGTTTTAGAAAAAAACAGCTCGTTTCGGCGATAATCACATTTTCATATTTGCACTGATTGGTTGAAATTAAAATTTCATTGTAAATAATTTTAAGTAATTTTTTCCGAATAATTTGCGATAATAATATTAATTTTAGAATTTGCAACTGATTCGTATTGCTCGTATAGAAATCTTATAAATTAATTTAAAATAAGTTCCATTTTTTCTTTTCTAAAGATAAGAAATTTTTTTAAAGATTTTTCTTTTAACATTATCTATTTAACCGGATTTCTTATGTAGGATAAGAAACAAGAGAGTGATAAGAGATAATTAGAAAAAATGTATAGGAAGTGCAATCGAAGAATTTTCAAATAAATTTAGGCAATAACTCGTCAAGATTTTTCATTAGTTTATCATATCATAGATAATCATATCATATATATATATATATGTATATGCACTGGTGACGACTCATTTCTGATGGAAAATGACTCTGGCAAAATTTGCTTGATCCGGAAAGCTATAGTGGAACCAGCAATAGTAAATACTTTCAGAAAACATAAAGATGGAAAATAATCATTTTGCAATTATAATTCAGCTGAAAATGATGAGAATTTAATGAAGTTATCCCATAAATTTCCTCGATTATTTATCGTAATTGCATTCATTAACATTATTTTGAATATTTATAAAAATTATTTCTTCCCATTTTTATCAAATTCTTCTATTAAAGAGAATAAATGCCTTAGGCATTGCTTGTTAAATGAGCAGTTAATTCAGAAGCTTTCCTTTCCTGAATAATTTTTTTCTCCCTAAAAAAATAATTTTAAAATTTAAGAAATATTTTAAATTATATCACTAAATATCCAGAAATATTTGATTATTTTTCATAAATCCATTCATGAAAATAAACTGAAATTTAAAT